GTCGTTTGGTATCTGGGGGATAGTTGTGGCATTTGCAATTATACAATATCTTCTTTTTTTACATTTGATACATGTTTCAATCATGAAATAATATTAATGTTTGATGAAGTATGTGTCGTTTGTTTATGTGTTACATAATTGTTTTTCGTAAATTTTTTGTACATAAATTAGGCCGTTATTTTTCTCGTTTGAATTGTTTTACATTGTCATTTTGGATCCTTTTATACCTGACTGTGCTGTATGGGCTTTGCTCATTGTTGAAGGCTGTAAGGTGACCTATAGTTGTTAACTTCTGTGCCATTTGGTCTCTTGTGGAGAGTTGTCTCATTGGCAATCATACCACATCTATCTTTTTTATATGTAAATATTTTAAAAAAAACCAAAGTCAGGATTTACATTATAAAGTTTGCACAAAAATAATAATACAATCTCGGCTAAACCGGCAAAGTTTGTTTCAATTATTTTCAAGCTTTTTACATAGGATTCCGGTCAGGTACACGGTGTCTGTTGGTAATCCTAGGCCACCCCCATCTGATCTAAAAAAAAATGTTTTATTTGCGAGCAATCTGTGAAATAAATTAAACCATTACATTATGATGTAAAATACATTACTGACATGATAAAACTTCCAGATGTATTGACCAATATGACGTTCATGTTCATGTTCAATAAATAATTTTCTATTCAACACATTTGTTGGTGAAACTGGGTCTAGTCCAAGGGCTAGGTGCGCTAGTAGCCGATTATAACCTTTTAGTCCTGTTACGAGTTTACCTTTAAGTAACAAAAGAAGGGTGCACAGTGTCCAGAAAGGTCCTCTAGTTAACGTGTTTAAGTTAACGGAATAACACACGGCTAATTTTATTTTCTTGTAAATTATAGGAAAATCATTGTATTTTACAATCATCATTGTCGTCGTAAGTTTCCGTGGTCACGATTTTCTAAATTTCCTGATTTTACAGGATTCCAAAATACCGTATTATACGGGGAATCTTTAACATGAAAAATAAAATTACTGCGCTCTTTGTTGGTGGTTAAAATAGTACTTATAATACAGTTTATATATCAAATATATCATATAACGAAAGCGGAAAGTATTTATTAATAGGTGATTTTAGTATATTAAGTATTTCAGCACTTAAGTAAGACGAACATTTTACCCTAAATTTACCCCTTTTTTATCGAAAGCAAAATTATTACGTGTATCATCACGATATTTTTTACTCTGATTAAAGCAATAAGACACAGTGGATATGTGTGCCAAATTTCATGTGTGAAATAAAAGTTGTTGTGAAGAAATAAGCAATTAAAAACACAAATTAAGCCAACATTTTGGCATTGATTAAACACGGATTATATCGTGCCATTAATTATTTTGTTGCTTACACTATTAGGTCATTAAGGTAACAAGGACAGTGGTCACTCAATGCATTTCTCATTTTTGATTGTTGTGTGGTTGATTGATTTGTTTTGAATAGCCAGATAACTTTGTACTTACTAGATTGTTATTTTCTTCGAAGGAATATATGGTTTGTGTCTATTTTTCAAAACTTTAAACTTTTATTGAATAGATATTTTTGTTATAATTGTAGTGCCAAGCATGCATGTTCAATCTACCTACCATGTTTCAAATTGGAATGTTTGGGGTTTTTTTTCTGTGAAAATAGTACAATTAAAACATGATCGGTAGTTTAGAATTATATGATCAGCCATAAAAGGCCCCGACAAGACAAATTATGAAACAATCCAAACGGAAAAAACTAACGGTCTTATTTATGACAACAACAAAAAACAAATACAACAGACAGCGACCAACGACAACCACTGAATTGCAGGCTCCTGATTTTGAACGGACACATACATAATTTGGCGGGGTTAAACATGTTTGTGATCCTTCGACCCTCCCCTTACCTGGACAATGGTATAACAACACAATTAACATAAGAACAGTCAGTAAAAAAAACAGTTGGGAAAGGCTAGACTCAATAAATCGGTATGAAGCACAAAAACAACTAACATGAAGACAAAAAGACATAAAGTACCCATCTAATAGTATTCGCCGTTAGGGTACGACAATTCTGTATTCGGGGAAAGGGGGGCTGGCATAAACATCATTACCGTAAAAACTAGGATTCTACTAGTACAGCATGTTTTATTAACTAACTGAATTATGTCGAAAGTCATAGAGAAAAGGATTATACATTCCTTATATGCCTGTCCCAAGTCAGGATTGAGCCGGTATTCGAGTGGTTGTCGTTGGTACATGTCTGTCACATTAATTTTTTTTTTGTAAATTGTTTTGATATAAATTAGGCCGTTAGTTTTCTCAAATGAATTGTTTCAAGTTTTGCATATCGGGCCTTTTATTGCCGACCATACGGTTTGAGTTTTTTCTCATTGTTGAAGGCCGTATGGTTGCCTATAATTGCTTACTTTCACATCTCCTTATTTTATTATACAACAAGAATAACATAAAATTAACATTATCGATGTTCCTTGTAAATGAGGTAAGATCAGATGATCTCTGCCACAAAGACATGTACACCTTAATGCTACAATTCCATACACCAAATATATTCGACCCACTTCTTATAGTAGCTGAGATACGGACTTGACCACTGAAACTTTCCCTTGTTCACTGATCCATGAAATGAGGTTGAGGTCAGGTACGTGATCCATGTCTGACGGACATGTAGACCTTTCAAGGATACCATATATTAGTAACCAAATATCGTTATCCTAAAACTCATGATAAGTCAGACATTAACATGACGAAAAAAAACTACATATATTTTAGCAGTCACTAAACCATGAAAATGAGGTCAAGGACAATGCTTATATGACAGACGGGAACTTCGTAGCACAATGGATCATAATACAAAGTATGAATCATCTATATCATCTACTCTCTGATATATAAAGCTATACAAATAGTTAACGGTGTTGCCGCCACCACCATCAGATTGTATTATGTATGCCTCGCATTCTGCGACTTGCGTCGAATGCGATTTAAAAAAAAATCCAACCGAACTTATAAGCTCTCTAACCGCGTTCAACTTAACAGTAGACAATGAAACGTAATATCTATACTACTTGCTTCGGCAATGTTTCTATGTTGTTTCAATCTGATTAAAATTCTGATCTGTATTAACTCGCGTGCTCGTACATTTAAGCTCATGAATGAATATGAATAACGAAATCAGAGATCTATATATTTTAATTATATTGATGTTGTTTACAAGTGTTTGTAAAATACATCGATGCTGTACATAACACTTAGTTTTTTGTAGAGTAATATTTAAATTCATAGTCAATTGTAGGCCAATATAATTATGCTCAACAATTTAAGTCATATAAGTGTGAAAGATGGAGTGATTAACTTGTTTTTAATTGTCATTTTGCAGCTGGAATCGGACACTATTTCATGCTCCATGATATATGAAAAGGGTGAGAAATTCAGATTAAATATATATCATTAGGTTGACATTACCACTTGCTTGATTATATCATAAGTATCTGAAACTAATCAGATGTCAGTATTTATTATTGATGCGGTTAAACCACAGTTGTAAATGCACCAGCTATTTGTCAAACCAAATAATCTCTATTTATCTTCCAATGTGGTATTACCACTGATGCTATAGCTATAGCTATAGATGCTATAAATCCCATTCTTTTGACATTTGCACCTAATTAACATTCAAAGGTTTGTATGTTTACCTGAAACATGATAACAATTATTTAAAGAAATTCCATAGTGATCGACAGCGTCCTTTGAAAGGGAACAGCAATATTACTTTTTATCAGTTTTTCAATTATATAAAACTGAAAGTGTTACTCTATCTCTGGGGTGTAACTATCTGACCAAACATATTTTAAAAGTATTTGCCTATTATACAACGGATGCTTATCAGGTTTCACAAGTATTCTAAAATAGGGAAATATATCTATAGGTCTGTTTTTTGTTAATTGATATATGACAATTGGGATATATTTTTGCTAAACAAAATATATGAAAAGGGTGGGGTACTCGATGTCTCAGCTGCTCAACCCTACCAAAGAAAGATTGAAGTGCCCCCCTGAGCTTTCATAACCAAATTAACCGAACCCCCACCCACCCCCCAATTCTAATAGGTCAAGGTTACTGTTATAAAACAGCTGAATCGAAATTGTAAATGTGCACCCTTTAAGTAAAATATAGAAACTATAGTTATAATCCTTTGAACATGTTGAATTATTCGAATTAATTTTGATATAAGGGAGCTACCATTTGATTTTTATGGAGGGGATGAGACACTTGCAAAAAAAAAGCCAGGATGACAATTTAGGTAAAAAAAAAGTCAGGATAAACTTAAGAAAAAAGGCAGGACCGAATAGAGTGAAAAATAAAAATGCAGGATAGAGATTACAACTGGAAAAAATGCTGGACAAAAATTTTTCATCCTAGCTAACCCCCCTAGCTCCCCCCTTCCCTATAACAATCAAAAGGTAGCTCCCTAAATGCATATATAAAGGGGCTGATCCAGCCATTTTTAAAAAGGGTTCCCAACCCAGGATAAAAGGGGGGTCCAGCCATATGTCACAATTCAAAAGCATGAACGGAAAAAAAGGGGGTTCCAATCCCCGGACACCCCCTCCCCCCCGCCCTGGATCCGCCACTAGTTCAAACCATATGTCCAAATTCAAAAGCATTGATCGTCAAAAAAAGGAGGGTTCCAACCCCCGGATCCGCCGCTGATGTGAAAATCGTGATTACTGTAGACAACAATGATATAAAATACAGCCGTGTTTTATTCCGTTAACCCAAATCAATCAAATTCGTTGACTGGGGACCCTACTACAAGTTGATAATTTTTTATGGTCAAATAAGATATCCTGTGGTGCTCCAAATAGAGGAGGAATGTACTGCAAAGAAAGGTCAATTACAAGTAGCCTCAAAGTGACTAATCGGGCCGAGTTACTAAACATTGCTAAATGGTATCGTACCAAAGTATCGCGTGTCTATAACAATATTCGATTTAGTGCGAAGTGCTCCCTAGATGGAGGGATTTCCTACTACAGAACAGAACAGGATGGCGACTCAAAATGACCAGATCGGTACAAGTTATAAATCTACCGCAACAAAAAGGCATAATGTAGATTTAGGGGATGACAACGTGCAGAACAAGTTTCCGTTTGTAAGCAATACTTGTGTGTAACATTGGCGATATATCTAGTACGAGCAAACAGTTAATGTTAGTTGGACGATATTGCACCTTGTGTAAGACAACTCGGCCCGAAAACAACTCGGACCGTCTGCCAGAAAAGAACACATAAAGGCCGTACGCTATGGGTTCGTTCGCCCTATTTTTATTAAATACATTTATTGATATTAATGGTATTTAGGTTTTATAAACATATGTCAATATTTATTAAGTAAACATTAAAGAATTTAAAAAATAAATATATCTCAAATTCATGAAAAAGAAAGTAATTGCTTGTTTTGGAGCATTGCTTCATTGTTCCATTTGTTTTTTTTTTTAAATTGGCACTGGCTACTGTTACATGGAAATGTAACAATAATAAAAATATTTCATAATAAAAATATTGTTACATTGGAGACTAGTTTCCGGAATGCAGGGTTGGGTTGAAGCATGGTAAGGAACCGATTAATTTCGACTGTTACAATAATAATTGAGTCTACTGTTACATTGCGTTATTGTTACATTAATGCACTTCCAATTTTGTACGCTGGGACTAGTAATACGTATTTAAAACAAACTTGAAAACTCTTATTTGAATTTTACTATATATTGCATACAATTTTTCAATATTTTATTTACATTGACAAGTTTCTACAAATTCAGTATGCTGTTTTGATAGCATGTTTTAGTCCGACAAATTTTGGTGAAACCACTCTAAGCAGCCATCAAACACAAATGATGCAGCAATGTCTGTATTGCAAACTGTACAATTCCATTCTGCACTATCCCTTTTTGAAGTTAAAGAAACTGTCAATATCTGTCATGATTTATGAATGTGAAAAATATTTTTTTCAGTACTCAGTCAGAGCTCTGACATAAACAAGTCAGAATTTTGTGACTTGTGAAAGTCAGAATATTTGGTGTCATGAGTTACTTCCCATCATTTTGAAACAAAAACTGACTTCTACAAGTCAGATGAATTATTATGCAATTTTTTCCTCCAAACAAAAATTTAAAAAAATTGACTTCTACAAGTCAGAAATATACCTTAACTGTCAACCTTTATGCACCCATATTTAAAAGTTGAGCATCCACATGACAATGTTAAAAATGCCTTCCACAAACACTTTTTTATCAACAAAAAATATGAATAAGACCCTAAAAAAACAGAATCATATCAAATCAACCATTTAATGTAAGTATGTATTTGAGATAAATTGTAAAAAATATTCTGTATAAACAATGGATTTACTTGAAAACCAGCATGAAAAGATAGATTTTAGTATCGTTAAGCATCATACAAATATTCATGGTAACTTACTGATAAGGTTTGCTACAAATCTTAAAATACTGAAACTTCATGATTCACTAAACAGAATTTGACCTGAATAAGTCTGGCATATTCTGACTTTATAAAGTCTTAAACTCCTTTGTAAAAATGCATAATCTGACTTGCACAAGTCTTGACAATTCTGACTTGTTTATGTCAGAGCTCTGACTGGTACTCTTGCAATTTTATTTTTCTTCCAATATCTTTTGTTGGAAGCATGTGAGGTTGTATTATGATTCATTGCCGTCCATAACTGATTTTATGTTCACATCCGATTTCAATATCCAACTTAGCATAGCAGCAAAAACCAAATAAAACTTAAAAATACAAGTCAATTGTGAAGGCAATTGACATTTGCCGACATGTTGAAACTGGTGGAATCAGTGTTTTCATTTTCAGAGTCCAGATATTTTGTGATTGTAATTTCGTTCTTTTTGGCAAAAACAAATAGGCAACAAAACTATAGAAGGTTTAAGTTTACTAGTAAATCTAGCGTATATTGTAAGTGCATTTAATGTAACAATAACGCAATGTAACCGTAGACACAACTATTATTGTTACATTCGTAATTAATCGGATCCTTACCAAACCCTGTATTCCGGCAATTAGTCTCCAATGTAACAATAATATTTTTATTGTTACATTTCCATGTAATCGTAGCCAGTGCCTTTTAAATTACTTTTAGTGATTGTTGATTGTAAATTAGAATACTGATTAGGTAAAATTAGGAGGTCTTTGACCTCATCTAATGTTGAGTTAATTGTTCTTTGGTGGATTGGTAATGAAAATAACAATTTAAAATAAAAACACGGTTTGGTCCGGTGTGATATAGCCATTTTTTCACCATGCCATCTCATTTTTCCCCTGGGAAAATTTTTGATCATTGCCATTCTTCCCTCACGGAAAGTTTACAATACATATACATATATGTACCATTCTCCCATGTCCATATTTCCCCCACAATATGGATTTCACTATATATATATATATATATATATAGTGGATGTGGTCGAGTGGTCTAGAGCGCTGGACATGAGGCTAAGCGATTGGTGCTGTAGTGTATCAAAGGTGTGAGTTCAAATCTTGTTGAGGGACAAACATTTGTCAGCATATAAATTGAATTCTAACACTGTTGGGTTTAATTTTCAGACTTATATACCGTGTATACATATATATATATATATATAAAACATCTAGATATTAGTCAACGATCTTTCTTATGAGGGCGCTGGATCCTTACGAGTATAACGGTACACAATAAATGAATTATATAAATGCTCAAAAGTGTACAAAACAACACCAATATTAAAAAAAAGGAAACATTTAATGTAATTATCTATAAATATTATCATAATCAAACTACTATTTATTTGGGATGTGTAAATATGCAGTCTCTGTTGTTATTACTTTACCATCGTCAAATTTGAAATTTGAGTATTATACCAGCTCAAATCGGTCAGTGCTGTCAGTGCTGTTCATTGGGAATGTATTTCTACACAGTTTTTGTTGTAATATCTTAACTTTCGTTACCTGTGAAATTTTAGAAATGTACCAGTTCATATTGCATTACTATTTTTGTTAGAAGCATATCTATGCAGTCTGTTGTAAATACCTAACCTACGTCATTTTTGAAATTTTAGAATTGTACAAGGGTTAATTGTTGTGTTCGGTTTTAATTGTATAAATTTAAAGATTGTTATAGTTAAATCAGAAAAGATTGATTTGATTCATTTTACATCATAATCATACTGATGAAGGATATCTGTTATCCAAAATATTTATAGATAATTATACATTTAATGTTTCCTTTTTTTTAATATTGGTGTTGTTTTGTACACTTTTTAGGCATTTATATATATACAGTCAGGGGACTTATTGGAATAAGTGATTTTTAAATCACTTATTTAAGTAGCAAATTCGAAGTTTTGTCACAAATTGTGATTTTGTAGTTTTACCAAAATTTTAAACACATAGGTTTAGATAATATCTTTTCATTAGTAAAATTGAAAAAAATGAACTTTTTGCTTCTTTTAAGCAGCAAGGTTTATGCTTTTGATGCAATCATTTAGCTGCAAATTCTATTTTAGTTGAAAAAATGCTATAAACATGGCTTTACATAATGGACTGATACTTTCTTAACAGATTTTTCCCAGCAGTGGGAGTATTTTTCCTGTAAAATTCAAGGTTTCATCTTATAGATTATGTAATAAAATTCTACTGTTCGCCATCAAAATTTCACTGTTCGGGGGTGTTGAAATTAGTGGGGGTTATTAAAATAATGATACTTAAAGAAGTGATTATTTGGAAGGAAATTGAGGTATGATACTTTAACAAGTATTTTTATGTCATTATCCTAGATTTAGTACAAGGTCATCACCTGACATGACCCGGTCATCCTATCAACACAGATGTTGGTTCTGATAATTTTAGCAACATAATTAGTCCCTGGATCATTAGTATTCTATATTTAAAGCTACAAAAAAATTAAATCACTCAGTTTAGTGATTAATTTGTACTACTTAAATAGGTGATTATTAAAGAAAGACAACTCTTACTTCCAACCTTTATGGACATAATGATACTTGAATCAGTGATTTAGAAAATCACTCATTTAAGTAAGTCCCCTGACTGATATATATATATACATGATATATGTACCTCAAATTATGGTTATTTATTGAATATATTTTTCGCATTTTCTTAAGAAATGATTAATTGCTGAAATGCTTAAGTAATTTGTTTTTTCGGCATGGGTTGCATAGAAAAAAGTTGATTATACAAATTGTGTTCATTATGTTGACAGGCATGTCACTAGAAAGTTCTGGGGGAGTGGGGTGGGGTACCTATATTTTGTTACAGGGGTTCCGTTTGCATTCCAAAAATATCCTGATTCATATATATCATGTATATTGACTCTGTCCTAAAATTCGATGTATTCATATGGCTTACATGAAAATGTGTTCCTTTTCATACTAATTCTCATAACTGTGGATGATAAATACTACTGTAAAATTTGGAGATTAACACTTTTACAGCAGGAATAAATTTATTTAATATTCAGTAAGATATTATGACCCATTGGTATGTTGTTTTAACTAATAAGATTACCACTCATTGGTATATGATAGGTTGAAAATGTCCATCCTTTCATATATTTAAACATCCTGAAAAACGGACATCGGTGAAGAACTTATTTAAAGGAGTTACCCTACATTAAACAGTGAACTTTTTGTTAGTGCAGCCGTCTGTGTCTGCTAGCATGTGCATGCCAGGTAGTATGGGGATTTCATCACATATCCACAAATCTAAGTACTTTCTGCATGGCCACTCGTCTGTTTAAATGTCCATTAGTCTATGGCAAGCCTTTTTACTATTTATTCAAATTTCAAGATATCACATATAATATTAATACAAGATGTCTTGTATAATATATAAGATATCTCATTTAATATAAAAATTATCTTATATAATTCAATTTTTATACGACTGCAAAATTGTCGTATATTGGTATGACGTTGGCGTCGTCGTCGTCCGAAGACACATTGGTTTTCGCACTCTTACTTTAGTTTAAGTGAATGGATCTCTATGAAATTTGACCATAAGGTTCAATACTACAAAAGGAAGGTTGGGATTGATTTTGGGGGTTATGGTACCAACAGTTAAG